TGTTGCTGTTGCTTGTTATATTGCTGTTTGGCTTATTGTTCAAGCAAGCTGTTCTGATTGCCAGGTTGGTCAAGAAGTTAGTTTATGTGAGGACTTTTAGTCAGTCACTGGTTAAGTCTAGTCGAGTCTTGAGACAGCGAACTACTTAGAGCACTTATACACATGCTTACTTGTCTATATTTGTACTATGTTATCAAATGCTAATAATGTTATTAATAAACTTATCAAATTTTAATTTCTCTAGTTAGTAGCCTACCAGTTGTAATCCTGAAGCACCATTGAATCATACTGAATTCTAATGGATAATTGGACCAGGATACTGACTAATTGTTACGAAAACCCAGTAACAGGCTGGATGCTAGAAGGGCAGTCCTTTCTAGTATTACCTGGAGATCTCTATCAGTATTAGATATTTCGTTTTTGTAACAGTAGTGGTAGTGGTGGTGGTAGTGGTGGTGGTGGTGGTGGTGATAGTGGTTGTTACGAGTATGGCCATACCCGTTTTATTTTATAATTGTTTAAGCCCCTTTATTTTATAATACATGTATATATGTTAAGGCAAATATTAATGCTAATATTGTATGTATTATATTATGTTTTGTTAGGCTTTAATATTATTTCCCTGTAGTGGGAAACCACTAGGTTTAAGTACCGGTTAGCAGTTCAGGTACTGAGGTCTCCCTCAGTCACGTGACCAACCTGACATTGGCTTACCAGTCAGTGGTACCGGCAGTAGGTTCACAGCACCTGCTCAGAGTAGGTTCACAACCCTTGCTGTGAGTAGTTTTACAGCACTCGCTGAGAGTATGTCCTTCACACTCACTCTGACTACCATTCCCACTTCTAGTCTGGGCTGGCATAGCCAAGGGAGCCTACCTCACTCATTGACCTCTCATAAGAGACATGTCAAGTTCTCTCTTGTGGTCGTTTTTCTTTCATGACTGACTTCCTTTCTTAAGCTTGTCACTTTCGAGTCATTTATACTCGGGTAAATTAATCTTTCCATGTGACTGAATAAGCCTTGTCGGCCTTTATGTTAATTTGTGGTCTAAGCTATTCTTAGCCATGTTGGATGGAAATGAGACTAAGTCCGTCACTTACGAGTTCTTGTACACTCTGAATTGATAGTTCAGATAAGTCTTTATAACCATTATAAGTTACTTTGTGGTTAAGTCTTAATAACCATTATAGGTGCATATTATTGGTGAACTTAGTACAAAGCTCGACCTCAAGAGGTTCCCTTCTTCATATCAATGTACTGTACGTACCAAGAGAAATGTAAGAGTTAAACTCCTTATTTTATGTTAATCATAACATCATACATTAAGCTAAAACTCTACTAGTAAAGATTTTAAGTTTGTTATTTTTGTAATCCTGAATTCTTACTAAAAGTTATTGTTGCAAAACCGTAAACAGGCCATATGTTCAACAAGAATGTTACCTTAACACTCTACCATACCATTGGAGAAGGTTAAGAAGACGAGTTTTGTAACAGTGGTAATAGTGGTGGTGGTAGTAGTGGTAGTAGTGGTTGTTACTGTGTTGTGGTGGTTGTTACTGTTAATGATATGACAGATAATTGATTTAATAAGATATATGACGACCCTGTTTCTTTGCCATCTTTCTGGCAGTTGTGTCAACTTGAAGGAACCTTCGTCGACCAGTTGAAGAATCAACATTTACATCACAGTCCACCACAGACCACCACAGACCACCACAGACCACCACAGTCCACCACAGACCACCACACCCCACCACAGCCCACCACAGACCACCACAGTCAATAATTGTTTCTTTACCATCTTTCTGGCAGTTGTGTCAACTTGAAGGAACCTTCGTCGACCAGTTGAAGAATCAACATTTACATCACAGTCCACCACCGACCACCACCGACCACCACAGTCCACCACAGACCACCACCGACCACCACAGTCCACCACAGTTCACCACAGACCACCACAGTCAATAATTGTTTCTTTACCATCTTTCCGGCAGTTGTGTCAACTTGAAGGAACCTTCGTCGACCAGTTGAAGAATCAACATTTACATCAGGTGCAGCAAAATCTTTCTGTAGATCTTTGTTGGTTATCTTGGGATCCTTCACACTTTGTCTTATGATAATCTTGTCATGGTGAGGTGTTATCTTGTGTTTACTTCCACATCTTCCTGGACGCAGCGCTCCACAGTCACCAGTGTCGTGTTATCTTGCGTTTACTGCCACATCTTCCTGGACGCAGAGCTCCACAGTCACCAGTGTCGTGTTATCTTGTGTTTACTTCCACATCTTCCTGGACGCAGAGCTCCACAGTCACCAGTGTCGTGTTATCTTGTGTTTAATGCCACATCTTCCTGGACGCAGAGCTCCACCCGTCACCAGTGTCGTGTTATCTTGTGTTTACTTCCACATCTTCCTGGACGCAGAGCTCCACAGTCACCAGTGTCGTGTTATCTTGTGTTTACTTCCACATCTTCCTGGACGCAGAGCTCCACAGTCACCAGTGTCGTGTTATCTTGTGTTTACTGCCACATCTTCCTGGACGCAGAGCTCCACAGTCACCAGTGTCGTGTTATCTTGTGTATACTTCCACATCTTCCTGGACGCAGCGCTCCACAGTCACCAGTGTCGTGTTATCTTGTGTTTACTTCCACATCTTCCTGGACGCACTTCTCCACAGTCACCAGTGTCGTGTTATCTTGTGTTTACTTCCACATCTTCCTGGACGCAGAGCTCCACAGTCACCAGTGTCGTGTTATCTTGTGTTTACTTCCACATCTTCCTGGACGCAGAGCTCCACAGTCACCAGTGTCGTGTTATCTTGTGTTTACTTCCACATCTTCCTGGACGCAGACCTCCACAGTCACCAGTGTCGTGTTATCTTGTGTTTACTGCCACATCTTCCTGACGCAGAGCTCCACAGTCACCAGTGTCGTGTTATCTTGTGTTTACTTCCACATCTTTCCTGGACGCAGAGCTCCACAGTCACCAGTGTCGTGTTATCTTGTGTTTACTGCCACATCTTCCTGGACGCAGAGCTCCACAGTCACCAGTGTCGTGTTATCTTGTGTTTACTTCCACATCTTCCTGGACGCAGCTCTCCAGTCACCAGTGTCGTGTTATCTTGTGTTTACTTCCACATCTTCCTGGACGCAGAGCTCCACAGTCACCAGTGTCGTGTTATCTTGTGTTTACTTCCACATCTTCCTGGACGCAGAGCTCCACAGTCACCAGTTCGTGTTATCTTGTGTTTACTTCCACATCTTCCTGGACGCAGAGCTCCACAGTCACCAGTGTCGTGTTATCTTGTGTTTACTGCCACATCTTCCTGGACGCAGAGCTCCACAGTCACCAGTGTCGTGTTATCTTGTGTTTACTGCCACATCTTCCTGGACGCAGTTCTCCACAGTCACCAGTGTCGTGTTATCTTGTGTTTACTTCCACATCTTCCTGGACGCAGCTCTCCACAGTCACCAGTGTCGTGTTATCTTGCGTTTACTTCCACATCTTCCTGGACGCAGAGCTCCACAGTCACCAGTGTCGTGTTATCTTGTGTTTACTGCCACATCTTCCTGGACGCAGCTCTCCAGTCACCAGTGTCGTCAGCTGTCTTCAGAGTCCCACCAACAGTTAACTTTGCTAGACTCAAACTTTCCATGATCTGTCTGATAATCAAGCCAGGAAGTTTTGTAAGAGCTACAATACTTGCACACTACCTAGGTGTAACATCCGTCATGAATTTCAACAATAATCATGACTGAAGGAGAGAATTTGGCAAAAACCACATTCACTCACGGATCAAGCCTGCAGGAATAGCCTCACAGAACAGTAGCTGTTGTAGCACTGACGAGAGTCGCAGGATAACACCACAGCTGGATGGTTGCCAAAAGTCAGTAACAAACTCTTCTGACAAGAAAAGAACCTAAATTACGTTAAATAAGCCAGAGACTAACACACATGAGATTATGACAGAATTTACTCCTGTCCCAATTTGCACACTATGTGTAAGAATTCCAGTCCAGTTATCCCATAAATTATGTGACTTCTCAATAACTCTATGAAATGTAACTGATAATTGCAAACCAATCACATAAAAGTTGAGAGTTATTATTAATACTCTTGGATTATATCTTACGTTCTAATTATACTCTTGGATTATATCTTACGTTCTAATTATACTCTTGGATTATATCTTACGTTCTAATTATACTCTTGGATTATATCTTACGTTCTAATTATACTCTTGGATTATATTTTACGTTCTAATTATACTCTTGGATTATATTTTACGTTCTAATTATACTCTTGGATTATATCTTACGTTCTAATTATACTCTTGGATTATATCTTACGTTCAAATTATACTCTTGGATTATATCTTACGTTCTAATTATACTTGTGATGTTAAGAATACTTTTGATAATGTAGAGTACACTACCTGGAGTATACTTGGAGAGTTTCAGGGCTCAACGCCCCCGCGGCCCGGTCCATGGCCAGGCCTGGTGGTGGATCAGGACCTGATCAACCAGGCTGTAACTGACCAGTACTGGCAAGTACTGACCAGCAACTGACTAGTCACTGACCAGTAACTGACCAGTAACTGACCAGTAACTGACCAGTCACTGACCAGTAACTGACCAGTAACTGACCAGTCACTGACCAGTCACTGACCAGTCACTGACCAGTCACTGACCAGTCACTGACCAGTCACTGACCAGTCACTGACCAGTAACTGACCAGTAACTGACCAGTAACTGACCAGTCACTGACCAGCCCGGCTGGTCAGTGACTTAACTTCAGATGTATGTACTATAAGTACGCTGCTATGATAGTGTGTACTCGCAAGTACAGTGTGTACTCGCAAGTACAGTGTGTACTCGCAAGTACAAGAGTGTGTTGGTATGGCGACAGGAGAGGCCTAGAGCTATCATTCAACTCCTCCTGTGGTTACTGTTCGCCTTTTAGTCGCTCATTGTCAATTACTGCGATAATAACAGTGACTCACCTTCCTGTTGCTAGCGTAGGTACACTTGCATCCTGGTGGACAGTCTTGGTCCCATTCAGCTAGCGTGGGCGTGATGACTAGCGCCGCCCACGCTGCCGCCGCCCACCACGCCCACACACCGCCTCGTTGGCCGCCCATCACCCTGGAACCGCCCTTACAACTGTCACCGTCTCCACACTGCTCCCATCACTGTTAAAATATGGAATCTCTTAGGTTTGAAGTCTATCTATCGCGCCATTGATTTCATAAAATAGAAATAGAAATAGAAATAGAAATTAGCCAAAATCTTTACAAAAAGATATACAATTATGTATATACAGACGTATATCTTATATATTATGTAATGGTGTTGAGGGTTAGTTGGGTTTAAAGTCTATCTACTACACGAGGGTCATTAAGGCTGCATGGTGGGTTAATGGGGTTTAAAGTCTATCTACTACACGAGGGTCATTAAGGCTGCATGGTGGGTTAATGGGGTTTAAAGTCTATCTACTACACGAGGGTCATTAAGGCTGCATGGTTGGTTAATGGGGTTTAAAGTCTATCTACTACACGAGGGTCATTAAGGCTGCATGGTGGGTTAATGGGGTTTAAAGTCTATCTACTACACGAGGGTCATTAAGGTTGCATGGTTGCTTAATGGGGTTTAAAGTCTATCTACTACACGAGGGTCATTAAGGCTGCATGGTTGGTTAATGGGGTTTAAAGTCTATCTACTACACGAGGGTCATTAAGGCTGCATGGTGGGTTAATGGGGTTTAAAGTCTATCTACTACACGAGGGTCATTAAGGTTGCATGGTTGCTTAATGGGGTTTAAAGTCTATCTACTACACGAGGGTCATTAAGGCTGCATGGTTGGTTAATGGGGTTTAAAGTCTATCTACTACACGAGGGTCATTAAGGCTGCATGGTTGGTTAATGGGGTTTAAAGTCTATCTACTACACGAGGGTCATTAAGGCTGCATGGTTGGTTAATGGGGTTTAAAGTCTATCTACTACACAAGGGTCATTAAGGCTGCATGGTTGGTTAATGGGGTTTAAAGTCTATCTACTGCACAAGGGTCATTAAGGCTGCATGGTTGGCTAATGGGGTTTAAAGTCTATCTACTACACGAGGGTCATTAAGGCTGCATGGTTGGTTAATGGGGTTTAAAGTCTATCTACTACACGAGGGTCATTAAGGCTGCATGGTTGGTTAATGGGATTTAAAGTCTATCTACTACACGAGAGTCATTAAGGCTGCATGGTTGGTTAATGGGGTTTAAAGTCTATCTACTACACGAGGGTCATTAAGGCTGCATGGTTGGTTAATGGGGTTTAAAGTCTATCTACTACACGAGGGTCATTAAGTCTGCATGGTGGGTTAATGGGGTTTAAAGTCTATCTACTACACGAGGGTCATTAAGGCTGCATGGTTGGTTAATGGGGTTTAAAGTCTATCTACTACACGAGGGTCATTAAGGTTGCTTGTCACCTGTTCACCACCAGTCAAGAATACTTTAATACCTAAAATACTGATTAATGTAAACTACCAGTGTATATACACTGAGATATATACCTCTCAGTGTATATACACTGAGATATATACCTCTCAGTGTATATACACTGAGATATATACCTCTCAGTGTATATACACTGAGATATATACCTCTCAGTGTATATACACTGAGATATATACCTCTCAGTGTATATACACTTGAGATATATACCTCTCAGTGTATATACACTGAGATATACACCTCTCAGTATATATACACTGAGTTATATACCTCTCAGTGTATATACACTGAGATATATACCTCTCAGTGTATATACACTGAGATATACACCTCTCAGTATATATACACTGAGATATATACCTCTCAGTGTATATACACTGAGATATACACCTCTCAGTATATATACACTGAGATATATACCTCTCAGTGTATATACACTGAGATATATACCTCTCAGTGTATATACACTGAGATATACACCTCTCAGTGTATATAAACTGACATATACACCTCTCAGTGTATATACACTGAAAGACAACACAGACATGAAACTGCGCAGGAGAGAGAGAGAGGGGGGGGGAGGAACATTGTCAAAGTACCACACTTGGATCCACTTCGAGGACAGCGTGAAGCAAGCTTGTATACCATAAGACGGGCAGCCAGCAGCAACTTCACTCTGGCTGTACCCTTCTCTAGAACATCACTCCATCTGAGATCATACATACCCAGGATGACTCGAGTATGGAACACATTCGTACAGCATAATGATGTCAACGAGATAAAGTCAGTTGATCAAATGAAAATGTTGGCCCACAGATGGCTCCAACTTCATCCTGTTCCCTACTTGTATGTCTCATAATAATAAAAATGCTTTCAAATGAGCTGATGTAGGTAACAGCTCTTAGCTTGCCAATAAAGTTAGGAATCCTTAACCTGTAAATAGCTTGTCAATAAAGCTAGGGATCCTTAACCTGTAAATAACTTGTCAATAAAGCTAGAGATCCTTAACCTGTAAATAGCTTGTCAATAAAGCTAGGGATCATTAACCTGTAAACAGCTTGCCAATAAAGCTAGGAATCCTTAACCTGTAAATAGCTTGTCAATGAAGCTAGGGATCCTTAACCTGTAAATAACTTGTCAATAAAGCTAGGGATCCTTAACCTATAAATAGCTTGTCAATAAAGCTAGGGATCCTTAACCTGTAAATAGTTTGTCAATAAAGCTAGGGATCCTTAACCTGTAAATAGCTTGTCAATAAAGCTAGGGATCCTTAACCTGTAAATAGCTTGTCAATAAAGCTAGGGATCCTTAACCTGTAAATAGCTTATCAATAAAGCTAGGGATCCTTAACCTGTAAATAGCTTGTCAATAAAGCTAGGGATCCTTAACCTGTAAATAGCTTGTCAATAAAGCTAGGGATCCTTAACCTGTAAATAACTTGTCAATAAAGCTAGGGATCCTTAACCTGTAAATAGCTTGTCAATAAAGCTAGGGATCCTTAACCTGTAAATAGCTTGTCAATAAAGCTTGGGATCCTTAACCTGTAAATAGCTTGTCAATAAAGCTAGGGATCCTTAACCTGTAAATAGCTTGTCAATAAAGCTAGGGATCCTTAACCTGTAAATAGCTTGTCAATAAAGCTAGGGATCCTTAACCTGTAAATAACTTGTCAATAAAGGTAGGGATCCTTAACCTGTAAATAACTTGTCAATAAAGCTAGGGATCCTTAACGTGTAAATAGCTTGTCAATAAAGCTAGGGATCCTTAACCTGTAAATAACTTGTCAATAAAGGTAGGGATCCTTAACCTGTAAATAACTTGTCAATAAAGCTAGCGATCCTTAACCTGTAAATAGCTTGTCAATAAAGCTAGGGATCCTTAACCTGTAAATAACTTGTCAATAAAGGTAGGGATCCTTAACCTGTAAATAACTTGTCAATAAAGCTAGCGATCCTTAACCTGTAAATAGCTTGTCAATAAAGCTAGGGATCCTTAACCTGTAAATAACTTGTCAATAAAGCTAGGGATCCTTAACCTGTAAATAACTTGTCAATAAAGCTAGGGATCCTTAACCTAACCTTGTCAAACCCTGTGAAAAGAGAGAGAGAGAGAGACAGAGACAGAGACAGAGAGAGAGAGACAGAGAGAGAGAGGTAGCTCCACCACTAGTATCTGAGGCACCGTTGTAGTGAAGGTCGGTTTTAGCACCAATAACTCTGTGTATATGAGCCTTGCAGCGAGAGGGACACTCTTCCCACTGAAAAGAATCATAATTTATGTCACCAGTAAACACTTCATACAAGAGAAAAAAACTAATTTCCCCCATAATACCACACAAGAAATTATTTCCAAATGTTCGTAGCTTCGTGAAGTCAAAAATTATTTCCAGAAGTCAAAAATTATTTCCAGAAGTCAAAAATTATTTCCAGAAGTCAAAAATTATTTCCAGAAGTCAAAAATTATTTCCAGAAGTCAAAAATTATTTCCGAAAGTCAAAAATTATTTCCAGAAGTCAAAAATTATTTCCAAAAGTCAAAAATTATTTCCAAAAGTCAAAAATTATTTCCAAATGTTCGTAGCTACGTGAAGTCAAAAATTATTTCCAGAAGTCAAAAATTATTTCCAGAAGTCAAAAATTATTTCCAAAAGTCAAAAATTATTTCCAGAAGTCAAAAATTATTTCCAGAAGTCAACAATTATTTCCGAAAGTCAAAAATTATTTCCAGAAGTCAAAAATTATTTCCAAAAGTCAAAAATTATTTCCAGAAGTCAAAAATTATTTCCAAAAGTCAAAAATTATTTCCAGAAGTCAAGAATTATTTCCAAAAGTCAAAAATTATTTCCAGAAGTCAAAAATTATTTCAAGAAGTCAAAAATTATTTCCAAATGTTCGTAGCTTCGTGAACTGAAGTCAAAAATTATTTCCAGAAGTCAAAAATTATTTCCAAAAGTCAAAAATTATTTCCAGAAGTCAAAAATTATTTCCAAAAGTCAAAAATTATTTCCAGAAGTCTAAAATTATTTCCAGAAGTCAAAAATTATTTCCAAATGTTCGTAGCTTCGTGAACTGAAGTCAAAAATTATTTCCAGAAGTCAAAAATAATTTCCAGAAGTCAAAAATTATTTCCAAAAGTCAAAAATTATTTCCAAAAGTCAAAAATTATTTCCAGAAGTCAAATATTATTTCCAAAAGTCAAAAATTATTTCCAGAAGTCAAAAATTATTTCCAAAAGTCAAAAATTATTTCCAAATGTTCGTAGCTTCGTGAACTGAAGTCTAAAATTATTTCCAGAAGTCAAAAATTATTTCCAAAAGTCAAAAATTATTTCCAGAAGTCAAAAATTATTTCCAAAAGTCAAAAATTATTTCCAGAAGTCAAAAATTATTTCCAAAAGTCAAAAATTATTTCCAGAAGTCAAAAATTATTTCCAAAAGTCAAAAATTATTTCCAGAAGTCAAAAATTATTTCCAAATGTTCGTAGCTTCGTGAACTGAAGTCAAAAATTATTTCCAGAAGTCAAAAATAATTTCCAGAAGTCAAAAATAATTTCCAGAAGTCAAAAATTATTTCCAGAAGTCAAAAATTATTTCCAGAAGTCAAAAATTATTTCCAAATGTTCGTAGCTTCGTGAACTGAAGTCAAAAATTATTTCCAGAAGTCAAAAATAATTTCCAGAAGTCAAAAATTA